ATCCAAAAAATCTACCAGCCTGAACTGGACCAATGTGGTCAATGAAGAGACTTTCATTCTTCAGTGAACTGATTCAGGAGGAGGAGGAGGAGGAGGAGGAGGCAGCAAAAGCATCTATATTTCACTAAATTAGGAATGGCTTTTCCAACTGGCGAGATAGACAAAATGTATGTTGAGGTTATCTGCGGATTAGGTAGCAAAGTTCAGAACTGCTGTTAATTCCATTATAAATAATTAAGCATACTGCAGGCCCATAGCTAGACGTAAATATGTTTCCTTCCTCCATTTTTAACCACAACAGTACTCTCCTGACTAGTCTCTATCGACCAAGAAACTTAGCTTTGCCTCTATTTCTCTGAAAAACTTTTTTGGTATTTTTTAAAGAAAAATAAGTGGGATAAAAATATTTTAAATTAAAAAGTAAATAAACATATGACTTAACATGCTGACTATATTGGACTACAAATTTGTTTCTTTGGTTCTTCAAATTCTCCTAATTTTGGATTATAGGCTTTTTGGAGGGGGGTATCTGAAAATGATAGCTTCCTCTTTAAAATCGCCTCCCTTGGGTAACAGGCAATATTTTACATTTATATTTACACAGGTAATTAATGCACCATAATAGTAGTGTACGTCACATTTTATGTGCTATTTTATCTTTGTTATGGTAGTATTTTATCTCATCTATTTGATTTTACTTTGGTGTACTTTTTATTTTATTTTATTTTTGCTGGTCATTGACCAAATAAGCAGCATTTTGATCAGGTCTCCCTTGATTAACAGGCAGCACCCCCTCTCCCCAGTATACACATTATATGTGAGTTATCTTATTGTTACTGATAAGCAAAAGGTAACATTCACTGCCTCCTGTCCCTGAAAATGTCAATATCTATTACTAAAATAGATTATGTTTTGCAATAATGTCCTACTATTCACTGGTGACTTATACTTTCTCCACCTAAAACACAAGAAAAGTTGAGGTAGTTCCTCGTTTGTCTTTATATGTAAATTAGCCTATTGTATCTTTCATATCTAAATGGTAATTTCAATAGGAGCTTTTTTGGCCTAGTACTATATACTCTGAACCAAATGTTCCACTCCCCTTAATTAATTTAACTGTAAAAGACCTGTGTTTCATTTTGAGTATAATATATAGTATGTTGTTATTTAAAAGTTTTGCCTGTATTTTTTTTTAAATGGTTTATCCATTTTTTGCAGTTCAAAATATTGTGCATTATATTTTTGTCCACTATTCCTTAAAACAATTGCAAATATTGTTACTTTGCACCGTTTATCTAAAGCTTATGAGACAAGTTTCACACTGCATGGGTAGAACTATAATCTTGTCTTACACAGTAGGGTTTTTGTTGTTGTTGCTTAACCTTATTTTCTTTCTTTTAGAATATAAATTTTCTCTTCTTCTATATTGCATCTGCCATTTCCTTAGATTTGTAAAGGTTTAAGTTTGATTAAAATCTGTATATCTTAGGCTAGTGGGTAGAAAAGGATAGAATAATGTGTTTTAAAATAATAAATCTGATCAAATCTATATTGTAGTAGAACGGCAGGTGAGACTATAATTTACACTGCATGGAGTCAGCTGCAAAAACTACTTCACAGCCCAGGTATTATAAATTTATATGTAAAAATTATATTTTTGCTGGAAGTATAAGAAAAGGAAAATTTAGTGGTTAAGGTATATGAACGAGAGCCAGGTTGATGTAGTGGTTAAAACACAGGCTAGAAAGTGTGAGATTGTGAATTCTAGTCCTGCCTTAGGCACAAACCAGCTGGGTGACTTTGGGCCAGTCATTCTGTCTTAGCTATAGGAAGAAGGCAAGGGCAAACTGCCTTCCAAAAAATGTTTCCAAGAAAACTGTAGAAAAATTGAAAAAGAAAAAGAAAAGAAAAATTGTCCATGTAGTTATCAAGAGGGAACACTGATTTGAAGGCATTAAAAAAAGGATGTGAATAGATGGCTTAACTAACTGAATAATTGAAAAATACGGTAGCCAATACTGATCCATTCATTTCTGTATATATGTCAGTGTAATGATTCTGTCCTAAATTCCTTAAAATCTCATATGAATGAATTCCCTACAGCTAAAAATTAGAAAAAATTGCACCACCTTCATCATTGACAAATTTATTATGATGTATCTGTTGCAGCTTGAAAGAAACCGCAGAACCATTTGTACAATTCACAAAAACTTTGTAAATAATAAATGTGTCTAGAAGATGCTACAAGAGTACTGTTTTTGCTGAACAGAGTGACACATTATTATTACTACCCATTTTCTATTTAATATCTACAATGTTACATGCCAGAGGAATGACAAGTTTCCCATGATGGTGATTTTATGCAGAGTAGAAATTGAGCTTCTAATAATTTTGGCTAGATTTCTTTTTTTTTTAATAGTAATTTTATTAAATATTACAATTAAAAATATAAAAACTAAGAAAATTAAAATAAAAAATAGAAAATTAGAAAAGAAATAAAAAATAAGAATATAGTAAAGAAAAAGAAATGACTTCCCCTTTCATCACAACACGTATAAACAATTTTAGTAACTTATCACCTTCTCTTAAAATACAACAAATGATCTCTTCTTCCTATATCTCATCTTTTATCTATAAACAAATCCTTAAAAACGTGTTGTTCAGTCCAAGTCAACAAAAGTCCATTAAGGGTTACCAGAGATAACAACATATCTATTTTAACCTTGATCAAATAAAGTAACTTTATATTGGTGTATTGTCGAAGGCTTTCACGGCCGGCATACGATGGCTGATGTGGGTC